AGATGACAAAGGAACCAAAACTGCGGTTGATTTGATTAATCAGAACTTTTCACTAAATCCAACGTCTCGAGATGGTGACAAAACAATTCGACGCTCGGTCGTCAAACATGTTGATGGGCAAACAGAGAGGAAGATCTCAGCTTATAACTGTGGCTGTGGTGGCTTAGCCACCTACGCATCTGCATTCATGCACGCGGGCCTGCGGATTTGGAGGGGCGCCGCTAATCAACTGTATCTGTGGTCCCGGTAGGTAGCCGATCTGTGCCGGGATCGCCAGTGGCTCAATAACTTAACGTCATTGACGTGATCGTTACTAAAAGGGTGAGCTTGTTGGAGCTACAAGCATACGTAGGTGTTCAGCTCGACCAATTCAGTTTCGCTCTCCGTGCTTTTCTTTTTATGATATATATATAGCACGCCTGTCGCCGCAACAATCGCTCATCATGGCATTGATGCACTCTCTACAGAAGACGGCGACATCCTCCGCACGACTCACTATTAGATCACGCTTTCAGAGAACTAGTCTTCCTTTAATAGCATCAAAACTAGCGTCCACAATGGCACCAAAGGTGAGTTTCCCTTACCCGCAAGGGGTTTGCCTCGGGTTCCGGAGATGAATTTACGGGCTAATTTATCGCTTCAGCTCAATGACCCGTCTTTATTCAAGACGGACGTCTGCTACGTGAACGGCGAGTGGATAAAAGCCGCCTCGGGCAAGACTTTCGAGGTCCATGACCCCGCGACAGGAAAGCTCATTGGAACCTGCCCGGAGTTCGACGCCAAGGACACTGAGAAGGCTGTCATTGCAGCCAGCGAGGCATTCAAGTCCTTCCGCACGAAGACTGGCCGGGAGCGGTCCAAGCTGTTGCGGAAATGGTACGACTTAGTAATGGAGAATTCGGAGGACCTGGCAAAACTAATCACTCTAGAGAACGGCAAACCTTTCACAGACGCAAAGGGCGAGGTCAATTATGCTGCGCAATTCTTCGAATGGTTCAGCGAGGAGGCCCCGCGAATCTACGGCGACACAATCCCAGCCAGTGTGCCAGGTAACAGAGTAGTGACACTGAAGCAACCTGTTGGTGTTTGTGGGCTGATCACACCGTGGAACTTTCCTGCTGCCATGATCACGCGTAAGATTGGGCCCGCCCTCGCTGCAGGCTGCACAACAGTATGCAAGGCTCCAGGCGAGACTCCGTTTACATCGCTCGCAATCGCGGAGCTTGCGCACCGAGCTGGCATTCCTAAGGGTGTTGTGAATGTCGTGACCTCCCTCGAAAACACCCCACAAGTCGGCGAGGTATTGACGACACACCCTATTGTCCAGAAGGTCTCGTTTACAGGCTCGACGGGAGTAGGCAAACTGTTGATGAAGCAGGCTGCGTCAAGTCTGAAGATATTGTCTATGGAGTTGGGCGGAAATGCACCATTCATCGTGTTTGACGATGCTGATGTTGACGCCGCGGTCGCCGGTGCCATCGCGTCCAAGTTCCGCTCCTCAGGCCAGACATGCGTTTGCGCAAACCGCATCTACGTCCAGAAAGGCATTTACGACGAGTTCGCCCAGAAATTCGCCAAGGCCGTCAAGGGCTTCAAGGTGGGCTACGGATTTGACGAGGGCGTCACTCACGGCCCCCTCATACACGATCGTGCCGTATCCAAGGTCGAGGCACACGTACGGGATGCCGAGAAGAAAGGCGGAAAGGTACTCGTGGGAGGCCAGAAGATCCCGGACCTGGGTTCCAATTTCTTTCAGCCTACTGTAATCACCGGCATGACGAAAGACATGGCTATCGCGTCCGAAGAGACATTTGGACCAGTCGCTGGTCTCTTCTCCTTCGACACCGAGCAGGAGGTCGTGGAGCTAGCGAATGCTGCCGAAGTTGGGTTGGCCGGGTACTTCTACTCAAGAGACCTAGAAAGGATACACAGAGTAGCAGAGAATCTAGAGGTTGGCATGATAGGCGTCAACACTGGCCTTATCTCCGATGCAGCCGCGCCCTTTGGAGGTGTCAAGCAGTCTGGCTTTGGCAGAGAAGGATCTAAGTATGGCATTGAGGAGTACCAGCATATCAAGATGATTACATACGGAGGCATGGGCAAGGCACTGCAGAGCTAGACTGGGATCCACGGATTAAGGTATTAGGGACACTTCAAAATTAATAGCTATAATATTAAATGCTAAAATAACATTTTATTTTATGTTTCTCGTTCGAAATGCTATGAAATTCACTTGTGATACATAGAAGTAGGTTCTCAAATACCTCCAACCCATTGAGTCGTTGTGTGGGGAGCCCTTTATGTGAGATACTCGGTTTAGTGCATAGTGTCAAATTTCACCTGGCCGAATTATACATCCTCAAAATTTCCGAGCTCAAGCTAGGTATATTCAACATCCCAAACCACATTAATTGAGCCCGATGATACGCCAACCATTCCACTCGGCCATCGGCCGCACGAGGGCTGATCTCAGTCGAGTCACAGACGGCATCGCAGCCTCTCTACGCGCATTCTCCACCGCACAGCAACTCGCCGCACCGCCCAACGATAGCGACAATAATGGCAGCAATAGAGCGGGAAACAACAGCTCGCGACCGACAGGAAGGCAACGCGCTGCCGCGGCATTCTCCGAACTAGCCGAAATGAACAACTCGAACTCAACACAGCCCTCGAGGGGGGGCACTGTCTTCAGAAAACTCGACCTGCGGGCCGAAGCCGGCTCCATCTCAGTCTCTAGAGCTCCCTCCCCAAGCGGCGGCCCCAAGATCATCCGCGGCGGCTTCAGAGGCAGAGGCGGTTTCAACCGAGGAGGCGGGATGAATGCACGAGGCGGCGTAGGCGGTGGTCGTGGTCGTGGCCGGGGGCGACGCGGAGGACGCGGAGGACGTGGTAGACGCCAACGGGACAAGGGCGAAAGCGACGACAACAGCGGCCCTCAGGAAGACACCTGGGCCCCCGAGGTCCTCGCCATGCGCGAGGCGAGAGAGATCGGCTCGGCGCAGCAGTTCGACCCTTCGATCTCCATCGGCGACCTCGCGGGCTGGGGCCCCGCCGTGGCCACGGCCGGATCGCGCGTCGCCAAAGACGACACCGTGATACGCCAGGCGCGCATCCTCGGCAGCGGACAGCCGTACCACCCGCATAATACATTTCCGTTGGATGAGATGTGGAAGCGGTACACCAAGGGCAACGGTGTATTTTTCCCGAACGAGGAGATGAAGAAGTTCTCGGCGGACGCGATGGGCTTGGAGGCATTCCCGCCAGTGCCCAAGGAGACTAAGGATGCGGTTCTTCAGAGCGCGCTTCTGGGCAAGTACGAGGGGCCGCAGTACGCTGACTTGGGGGATACCCTTGGTGCGGTGCGGAACTACGTCAAGAGGGACGCCTCGTGGAACTCGGATGCAGAGAGACGGATCGAGGAGAAGGTCAGGAGCTTATTACCTGGGGGAAACACAGGGCCTGCGAAGGCTGCTGGTGAAACCAGGGCACGCCCTTAAGGGACGAGCAGAGCTCTTGCGTGTGACCATGCACACAGAACATGTGGGATATATAGACATTAAGGGTAAATGTCTTTTATGAGACGACAGGTCTCGGCTAACGCTAACTGTATCATATCACTCCTTTTGTAAAAAGAGCAACCCCTATGAATGATGTACATGTATCCTAACACTTGGTCTCTGTTTTATGCCATCACTTTTGGGGTATGATGCTGCTCCCAGACAACAGTGCTATCTATATCCAAGTGAACTGCGAATATCACTTCCAGGGATATGCGGCTCAAAGTCTACTGCACGGCCTTGAGCGTGTTCTTTTCAAGCTCATCAACCTCAGCAATAGCAGCCTTAATAATCTTGTCCAGGTCCTTATCCGCAGTCCTCTTCAAGTCGGGCCCGATCATGCCGTCCTTCCTCCACGTGACGTGCAGCTTGTCCCGCTTCTGGCGGACGGCGCGTATGCGCTCGCGCCACTCGTGCGCTCCGGCCTTGACGCGCTTGGCGAGGTCTTCGCGGCTCTCGGGCTCGACCTTGAGCACGAGCTCGAGCTCGTTGTCCGGGTCCCGCTGCGGCTGCTGGTTGAACTGCGGGCTCACCTGCACCGCGCTCATGATGGGCTTCACGTACCCGGCGTCGTGCACCAGCAGCGAGACGGCCCGCCCGCCTCGCGGCACGACCTGCGCCAGCTCGCGCAGCGGGTACGCGTCGCCGGTCTTCTTGTTGACCGTCACGCGCAGCGCGCCGATCGTGTCCGGGTCGAACCGCGACCCCGTCTGCATCTTCTTCAGCGATGGCCGGAAGTGCTCCGCGTGCTTGGCCAGGCGGGACTCGACGTCGGCGAAATTCAGCGGCTCCTCGGGGTTCGGCTGGGGGTGCTTCGGTCCATCATCGTCCGCGGTGCTGCTCTCGGACGACGCTTTCTCGCTGGATTTGCCGCGTCCCGCATTGTTATGCTTTACCGGTTCTTCCTTCTTCTTCGATTTAGATAGAGTGGGAGACACATGGATGCTTCGCACGTTGTCTAAGGCGATTGGAGAAGACAGGGGCAAAGTAGATGCCAGGAGGGGTCGTCTTTCACAACACTGGCTTATCGGCCTGGTGCTGTAGGGAGCGCTGTAGGGAACTGTTGCACGAGCTACATCGTAATTACTTTTAAAAGTGTTAGCGAAGAGGTTTAGAGTGCCAATTGAGTAGACATACAATCTCCCTGTCTGCGGCCGTACAAATCCGCGTCGTAGCAAGGTCCGGGCTGTTACGTTGCTCATTTTGGCTTTATATTGCGGAGTGTTGTAGCTCCATTCAAGTTGTCGGAAGCTAGGCTGACTTGGTTGGTAGAGTGTAGATAAGATAAGCGGTAGTCGAGCAGATCCTATGCCCCATATTATAAGTTTGAGGTGCATGCACTCTGGTCAACCCAAAAATTATTCTGACAGCTTTTACAATTTCCATATCACTAAAATAAAAATAAAAAAGGGGGAGGGGGGGAGATCTGTACAAAAGATATACTGTTCTCGCCCGGGATCGAACCGGGGATCTTCTGCGTTTCCGCTACAACATGGATAGCAACATCCACGTGTGCTGTAAAGCAGACGCCATAACCACTAGGCCACAAGAACCTACAAGGTCTGCATTCACTGAATCCGTGATATCTGCTTATCTAGTATTTGTCTATATATATATATTGTATAGACCGAAACAACGACCTATCTATATGATATATCAACTAAGCTTATCATCATCGGCAATTCCTATCTAGTCCTCTGGGCCATATGGACCCCGAAGCGTGGAGAGAGCCTTAGAACTGTAGTCATTGTGACAGCTATGTCTGGATACTCACACGCGTCATTCAACCAGCCCCGTATTCTGACCTCCATAAGTATATATACCATCCTGCATATAGTCGACAAAGTAGGACTCAGGCTGTCAGTTAGCCATAAGAGAGGTGGTGGTTTCGTTGTGACTTTAGGTCTGCTTATTGCACACACTTAACCTGATGTCTTTATTACCTTTGGCGATGCATTAGCTCTTTCGACGGCACTGTGACTAGACGGCTCCCGGCAGGTCCGGAGATTTGGGACCAACAAAACAAGGGCTGAGTGGTCGCTAATTTTTGCTACTTTTATAAAGACATGGCGAGCTTTGCTCGATGTCTAGCAACATGACAACACCTCTATATCTAAGCAAGCCTCCATACGCCTTCAACAGACCTCCCATGCCTCAATCCCAACGCCAGCAACCAAGATCCTCGCCCCTTTTCCCGTATCCCGTGTTCTCTCCTCCCCATTTTCGGACGGCTCCTTGATAACTTCTAGATCCCCGGCGTCTGCGACGCCGCTGTACCGATCGTCGAGTAAGTGGACCTTGGGAGCAGCAGATCTCCAATCAACAAGGCGCCACGTCTTGACGCGCTGGTCGTTGCTCGTGGTGGCGATCACTGCATCTCGGTCTCTGTTTTCGAGGCGCACTATCCCTAGCCCCGTTACGGCGGCGGCGTGTGCGGAGCGGACGATGAATTTGCTGCGGATCTTGTATTGGGATTGCCTTTGACTAGAGGTAGAAGGATTAGGAGCGCTTGGTAGCTCTTCTATCTGAGTTGGCTCTGATGATAATGCTGAGACTGGAGTTCGGTGGCGTAAGGGACCGGGATCCGTTATAGAATTGGAATCTCCCGTCACCTCTTGGGTAGGTATTGGCTCGGAGGATGGCGGTAGAACGGGGGAATATAGGTGTAACACCCCAATCGCATCATCATCGCCCCCCGTGACAACTAGGTACGAGGTCCCAGTCTTAGTGGTGATGCTGCGCATATCCAGTGATTTAATGCTGCTTTGATGGAGCTTCGCGACGAGGATGCCGGCCGTATCCTCAGTCACATTTCCAGAAGCCTGTACATGTGTAAAAAACACTAAATGACCATCAGTGGCAGCCGTCAGAATCTGTGGATAGCACCGATCAACGAATTTCAGATGTCTGAGCTGCGTGAGACAAGCGCCTGTATACATGTGTCTCCCTAAAAGCCGGAATCCCTCTCGCGCAGAGTAGATATAGCTCTGTACCGTAGAGTTCGAGAGTGTCATCGAGATGCAGAACTCCAGCTCAGACAGTGACTTTTCTAGTTCGGAGGCGGTATTTCCGTCATCGGTGTTGGAGTCTTCACTCAGACACTGCACATCAAAATCCGTAATCCGCAAATCGCCCACTTCAGAGCGATCAGGGAATATAGCCTCGCATACAACACCAATGGGACAGATATCGCTTTCCAGGGCCGTGATGCGCCAGACGAAGAACTCCTCGTTGCCGCCACTACTGAAGAGGTATTTATCTTTATACCACTGCAATTTCTGAATGCCTGTGTTGTGTTTTTCTAGAGTAAGTACGCAGCGAAGCTGCTGCTCCCGACTGTTTCCCCCACAGAGATCCCATATGCGGATCGCTGTATCCTCGGCGCCTGTAGCCACGTATTTCCTCGATGCGGCTGATACAGACTTGATCTCACGGCCGTGTCCGCCCATCTTCAACCGTGAATGTGGCTGGCGCATTTGCGAGAATATTTTCAACTGCGATGCTTTGGTGCAGGCGAACCTGAAACCATCGGGATTTCCCTCAATCTGCACCTGATCGAATACGCGATGTCCGCCGCCGCAGTCGATTGTTGCGACTTCGTTTTGCTGCGTCATGTTCCAGATTACGAAGTATCTGCTTCGAAAGCCGTAGAGTAAGAGGTCATGTTTCCCATCTCCCTTATCGAAAAGCCATGATCCTTCGATCATGGGTCCAAATGGCGGTTTTGTCTCGTGCAGCAGACGGACTTCGAAAACTTTTAGCGTATCTATGATATTGTAGATTCTGTATTTTCCATCGCGGCCAACCGCAAGTAAATAAAGAGGAGAATGCTCAGCTTTCTTTGGGAGGGGGAGGATTGATGTGATTTTGTCACCAATCTTAACGTCTATCGCCAGCAGAAGTGCGTAACTCCCGTCATTAAGCATCTTGAATATCGAGAGACTACCGTTTCTGGAGCCAAGGATAAGATAATCATGACACCACGCGGCAGCTGTTACGATAAATTTATCAGGAATGTTCACATCTGCTCGGAGTATTAATTCACGGTTTCGGTTAAGGCGGAGAAGTTCCGCTTTCCTACTCCCGAAAACCATGATGAGAATTTCGATATACCTATCAGAATCTCCTTCAAAAGAGTAACCTGTATGAGGTGAAACCCAAGTATCAGAGAGGCATATGATATCTGTAATCTTCCGTTCCAGCTTATGAATCGAATGAAGCGAGTTGCCACTAGCTTCGTGATAGTAAAATAATTCGCCGTTGGGTGCACCAATAAAAGCCGTCGCAGTTTTCTTGGAACTTCGTAGAATAGTATATGATTGTATGGCCGTCCGAATTGCATCAGGGATTGTGAGTGCTCTCCACTCTGTATTGTGGTTAAAGTTACCCCGGAAGATGCGGCCTGACCTGGTCGTAAGGAGTAATGTGTCGCCCGTGACGAATGTGAAGCTTTGAAACATTTCTTTTCCGTTTCCATGCTCGAAGGACGAGATGTGAGGGTCGGTTATGGGGCTTTTCTCTTTGCAGCTTTCGATAACCGATGTAGTAGATAAATCAATTTCTTGAATCGATTGTGACTGATGGCCGATAGCATCTGCGATTCTCGGCGCACGAGGTGAGACGCTACTTATGAGTGCTATCTTGCCATCTCCGCCGCCAGTAGCTATTATGAGGCCACTCTCACTAACAGTCATAGCGTGTGACCAAATGTGCTTCCCACTATGGTTCGAAAAGCTTTCGTGGTGCGTCAACTTAGAGACCGGTTGAGTCGATCTGCTCGAGACCCCTATCTTGGATGAGTCGGAAGGGGCCGGCTGAGCGAAGTTTAGTTCGAGATGCCATCTTTGCATCGTAGAGTCTTCTCCAAATGAATATACTTCAATAGGATCCCCTCTAGAAAAGGGACCTAGGCCGTTAATCTCAACTTGCCATATCCTTGATATATGACCCATAGCCGTTGCGATACACCTCGAAGAACTATCGGCTAGCCCTGTTGAGCCAATGATGGAATCGCCAAACCCAGTCTGCCTTGCATCGGAGATTTGTGTTTCGTACGCGTTGCCTTCATTCGTAGGCCCATCATCGCGTTCAGTGATATCCCAAATTCGGACCGTCCGATCGTCGCTACAGCTCGCGAGTAGTCTAATTGTTTCCCCAGTGCTCGTGACAATCTCAGGCGAGATATGAACACCGAAAATTGAGCCCTCGTGACCCGAGAACATGAATAAGACCTCGCAGCCGACTGTTTCTCTCCCATTGTCCGCATTGTCTACCCCGCTACCAATGTCGCGGCCGTTGGTACCTGTATTGGAACTAAGATGACACTTCCAGACCACAATCTCACCGAATACAGTCCCAGCAGCTACGAGCACGCAGTCCGGCTCGGCCCAGAAGAAATTTCCAGAGTACAGGACGGGCCGCGAGGGTGACTGTACTCGTCCTAAAACGAGCGTCTTTTGATCCGCGCTTACATGCCCTTGTATGACCTCGTTATGCGCCGTGAGGAGGACAATACGGTTGTCATCAAACGGTGAGACACGGCCGTCAAATATCCAATCGGGGGCTATTGCTTCAGGTATTTCGGGCGTAGGGTTTACCAATCCTGATATGCTTCCAAGAGAGCTATTATCGCCGCCACCGGAGCTAGCAGCAATCAATTCCTCAACGATGCGGCCAGGCAGTACTTTAACAACCTGGCTACCCCAGACAAGGATCTGAGGGGTACGTCTGTCATCATCCTCAGCTGCGGGACGCACAGAGATCCCGTGGATAGGCTGCGCATGAAAGACAGGTAGTGTACCACGAAGCCGAGACGTCGCGACATCGTAGACCTTTATATCTGTGTCTTCCGCCGCCAGGAGGTATTGCCCCTCGCCTAGCGTCAAGAACGCAAGCGCCGTAATAGGGGTCAGTACATGCTCTCGGCGGAGCTGGCCGGGAAGTGCCGCCTGCAATACGTGAACATTAACGACTGCATTGCCTACATTATTTGTGTTTCTTCGTCATCTGCGACATTGATTATGCTGGATCTCTGCATTTCGTTGACTTCTAGGAATTTGGTGGGACTCATGTTGTGTGGGGCCGTGCAGACGAATTTTCTTTCTTTGCAGACAAAATAAAAATCACTTACCTTGTGAGACATTGCTCAAGCGACTTCATAACGCTGCGATGCGCAACTTCAAAGGTCGGATTGTATGTGCATTGTTAGTAGGCAAAGCTGTTAATGGAACTATTATCACAAGTGCCAATGGGTCTTGGGTTTTTAGAAACGGTCAAAACTAAAGCACGTGATATGAGCTATTGAGGTTTGAACAATTATCAAAGCATCACTTAAAAACTTAATATGGAATTTAAACTGGTTTGAAATATAATCATGTAGTTCATTATGCTATAGATCTATCGGAATGCCCTGGGTATCCATTCGGCCGTGGCCCGGCCCAAGATCGATTCTTTAAGCACCCTTATCACACCCCGGTCATTAAATCCTGTCATACCCTAACCAGGCGCCAGTAAATGCAAACTTAAACATAAATATCTATTGTATTTCGCAGGA